GCATTATCCTGCCCATGTAATTGTAACCCCTCTGTACAGTATGTTCACAAATAAAATTAAATTAAATTAAAAAAAGAAAAAGAATCTGTAGTTTAAACATTCTTCACAGTGATCCCAAATATCTTAATTATTTAGGTGTTTTGCTTAATAAAATTTTCTTTGTTCTTCAGAGTATCAAAAAAAATATTATTCACTTACATGAAGCCATAGTAAAGCTTGTTCCTGCACAGAGGAGGGATATCCTGTAAACCGACAACTAATAAAGCCAAACATCTCTTCCATTGAAAAAGGGAGAGGACAGAGCTCTATGTCAAACATTTTGCTGGAAAGAAGAGCAACAACGGTAAATGACCAATGAGCATACATTAGGCTCAACTGATACCACCAAAGTATGTCTAACTACACTCTATTAACAAAACCCTTTAGACTAGTTTGCATTCTGAACTGTTATAATCATGTTTCATTTGACTCTAAGAAAATATTTCACATCAGTAGAATAGTTGTAGATAATTCATCTGTAACAACATTAACATCCATCTTAGTTTAACAGAAAGAATTGATGCTCTAAGGAATTATAGTTATATCCTGGCATCTAAAAACATTTTCCCTTTGCACATTTCCAAAATACCATACCAATAATACCTAAAAATAGACAGATCATATAGTATATATACTTATTACTCTACAGGAACAAAATCTTTTCTGAACAATTCGAAATAATCTCAGCTCAATTTTAACAGCTATTATATTAGAGGATTGTGAATTTCTTCACGGGTTTGTTTGAAAGGAGAAAATACATGAAATACATAGCAGAGTGCCATGGACACAGTACCCCTTCAGTAAATGTTAGGTATTATTGTAATTACAATGACTTCATTAAACTACTTACCCACCTTAATACTTCCCTGAATTCTTTTAATTGGGTATCAGGAACTTCTGTTCTGACGGCTTCCAGCCATTCTGGCATGATACACTCCCACACTGACTGGCTGATCACATTGTAGGGAATCAGGCAGAGGATCCGGCTGAGACCTTCCTTCAATTGAGTCACCGTGCTACAAGACTTATCCCAGTATCCACCAACCTGGAGGGGTTTATACAGTCATAGAGGAAAAGAACAAAACACATTCTGTACAATTGTGAAGGAAGAAGAAGACCACAGCCTATTGCACCCAAGTTCAAGGAAATAACGTTCAGAGTGAGAATTTTAAGAATTTACAAATCACCAGTAGGATCCATTAGTAACAGAAAGGAAAACATAGTTACAAATAGACCCAAATATTGTTCAGAGGTTGAATTCCAACCACTACTGCAGACTTTCTACACCACATATAAATGAAAATTCCCATGATTTATTCCTAACAGAATGAAGCACTGTTGTTTCTAAAGCCTGACAAACCATTACCATATGCTCAGGTAGGCATTCCTGTGCTTCACAGAAACAATTTTCTACTGCCACCTGCTTTGTTAGGAAGATTTTTCTTTATGGAAAACACTGTTCTGTGTATTCTTCCACAGTGTTGTTTCCCTGAGTATTCTAAGGCTGGTTGAATCAATTATTTAAAAGATGCATTTGGGGTTGATAGAGCCCTTGTCTAGCATGCATGATGTCCTGGGTTTGATCCTAGCACCAGGAGAGAAAGAGAGGGGAGGAGGAGAGAGAGAAATCTGGGACAGGGGATTACATAAGCCAGTTTAATACTGGCTAGAGGCCAAGAGTAACCGAGAGCTAGCCTGGGATTTAGGATCTGGAACAGGAGATGATGAGGGGGTGGAAGGGGCAGAAAACTTTCTAGGCTGACGGGCTGCTTGTGCTGCTCTTGCTGAAGCTAGTTAGCACTGTACAGGCTCAGTTCTATTATCCTGTGCCACCAGCCAGGCCTGCTACTGGCCCCTCCGGGAGAACAAGCTGCCACAGCTGTGACACAAAGCATACTCCTAGCCTCCGGAGTTCCTCTCCTCATTAGATCTGTCCAAGAGATAAAATGTGCAAAATATAGTCAGTGTCATCTATGCAAATATCACAAGAAACCAGTATAGGCTCCCATGTTGAGGCATTTGCTAAACTCATATCGGTACTAGCATTATGGCAGATGTGGTCAATATCAAGAGGTAGGATGCACAGCCCTAACCCTGTTGCCAGTGCAACAACCATGGCTCCTGTGAGGGAGGCAAAAGCTGGTATGGGAGTATATCCATTAGCTTGGTATCTCCAGTGAGACTTGCAACCAAAGGCCAGGATTGAGATGTTTAACCAGCATGAGCGGTGCTCTGGATTCAGACTGCCATACTATTACAGAGCTATACCTTCTGGAATGTGCATGACTATGGTGTGTATGCTCGCTGTCTCTTTCTCTCTCTCTGAAGACAATGATGGCAGATATCTACACCAACAGTCACAGTGGCAACTCAAAAAGGAAGGTTAATGACACTAGTGATACCTGTGCCTATGGACTACTGTGTGAAACACGGACAAGAGAGGCTCTGGTGGCTCACATCTTAATCCTAGTTACTCAGGAGGCTGAGATCTAAGGATCTTGGTTTGAAGCCAGCCCAGGCAGGAAAGTCTATGAGACTCTTATTTCCAATTAGTTGCAAAAAGCCATAAGTAGACCTGTGGTTCAAGTGATAGAGCCTAGCCTTGAGCACAAAAACCCAGGTCTAAAGTTCACACCCCAGAACCAGAAGGAAAAAAAAAAGACCAATGTAATCACTTACCTTTCTTGCTACACTTATGTAAATGACCAGATCAAATTTAATGAGTCTAGATTTATTTTGTAAGCTAGAGTAATCCTACTTTGATCAAAATGGAAGCTATAAGCTTTCTTTATGGGTTATCAAATTCTACTATTCATTATCTCTGAGTTATTTTTTATCTCTTTATACACGTAATTCTGCCATCATTTTCATTCTGTCAGTAATTAATATATCTACATTCTTTGCTTTTCTTTTTTTGGGGGGTGGGTCCAGTTGTGGGGCCTGAGCTCTGGGCCTGGGCGCTGTCCCTCAGCTCTTCAGCTCAAGGCTAGCGCTCTACCATTTGAGCCACAGCACCACTTCCAGCTTTTTTCTTTTTGCTTATGTGGTGCTGAGGAATCGAACCCAGGGCCTCATGCATGCAAGGCAAGCACTCTACCACTGAGCCACCTTCCCAGCCCACTCTCTGCTTTTCTTATGTGGCATCAACTAAGAATGAAAATCTAACTGCCTAGATCGTTATTAAGACTGAGTAGTCATGTTTCAAAACCCTACAAGCTGAAGATTTAAAACTTGGTATAAACTTCAAAGGACTTATAGTTTGAGTCACTCACTAAGTTCACCATTTATCCACAATATTTCATGTTGTACTTGGAAATATCCAAAACTGTGACATTAACAGTCTCACCCTACCATCTAAGACATTTATTTATAGGCCAGAAATCTACCGAATCTTCTCACTTGATGGCCTCTGGACTCAGAAACTAGGTTTATGGTCTATTCCAACCATCAATTTTTATTTTATTTTTTTTTTTGTCGGTCATAGGGCTTGAACTCTGGACCTGGGCACTGTCCCTTAGCTCTTCAGCTCAAGGTGAGTGCTCTATCCCTTTAGCTACAGCACCACTTCCAGTTTTCTAGTGGTTAATTGGAGATAGGAGTCTCATGGTCTTTCCTGCCTGGGCTGGCTTTGAACCGCGATCCTCACATCTCAGCCTCCTGAGTAGCTAGGATTATAGGCGTGAGCCACCGGCGCCGACTCCAACCATAAAATTTTTTAAAAATTGCTTCTTTGTGCTAATCTCTGCTCTTTTTTCCTCTCTTATTTCCTCTCTTATTTCATAATTTCTAACCTAAAGCTTCTCTCCATAGCAATTTTTTTGCAGGTGAAACTTGAAGGGAGGTTTCAGAGGAAGAAATGTAGGGATCTATTCAAATCTCCAAAGCTGGTACCAAGATTAACTGAAATATTTAGTCTAAAGAAGCATAAAGTAATCTTATTTGGACTTCCAGTGTTTAACTAAAGCAAAACATCCTGAAAATACACCTCTTCAGTGGGAATTTCCTGTGAATTCAGCTGCCAGGCAAAAAGTCAAGTTTCTGGCAATCCTCCATTAACATCAAAAAGGAAAAAGAAACACACTTCTTTAACTTCTTGTCTTTTCAAAAGATAAAACAACAAGAAGACCCTATTTGTTCACTTTGGTATGTAAATCTTTTATCATTGACTATTCTGGTTGTATTTTATCATTTAGCACTAATCTATTATGAATTAACTTGCTGGCCTCCAAACAACTGGACTCAATTTAAAAGAAGAAAGTTTTCTTCCCTACAAACTATTTGTTTTTAACTTCTACAATCAGATCATATCAATCCTTCATTATTTTAAGGGAAATCATAATAGAAAAACACCAGCATAGGCAAAGAACTCCAGGAAATGGGAACTTTATATTATATAAAAATTCAGTTTTATAAATGAGTCAGTAGGTGGCACCATCAAAGACAGAAGTATATTCTGATCTCTGAGTCCTGAAAATCAAATGAAATCTATTTCTTCAGATGGACTAGGTTCTATTTTATCCTTAAATGTCCTATTTTTTTTTAGCACAGCATTAAGCTGAAAATTGCCTGAAGGCTTTTTTGAAAGGAAACAAAATATCACAAATAAAAATAAAACCTAGAAAATATTTTGAAAAAAAAAAACCCATTTCCTGAACTGTTGCCAAAAAGTGATTCTGAGCATCCTCCACTACTGGTTAGACAGAAATTACACTGGAATGATGAATACCGTTTCTTCCCAGCCACACATCTGCAGCCTGTGGTCCAATGAATCAAAAGCAAGAGTATCAACACAGAGGAACCCATGGATTGAACTAGGGGACTGGGGGCATTTGGGCAGTTTCAGAGCCTTCTCAGCATTTCAAATGGCTACTATTACTGAAGTAGGGAAGTCAGGTCTGGCTAGCACCATACTGGCCACATGTGGATGGTAGGGTCTGGCATCTTGTCTTCATGGTGGAGGAAGGTGAAGTGAAGTCCCTGCCTCCCAAGTGATGGGTGTGCCTGAATCCCTGGAGGCAGGGGCAGGCACTTGTCTGATAGGTTACTAAACCTGTCAGTCCAGTGACTGGGACTGGGAGTTTCCTGTGACCCTGCCCCCTAACCTACCATATTTAGGCCTGTGCCAGTTCAGGCACCATTATGCCATGCCACGTGTCTCCATGTTCCTGTCCGGTCTCCTGGCTACTCTTGGGTCACCATGGCATCCCACTTCAGCTCTCCATTGGAGCTGAATTGGCTTGCTGGTTTTGTTTTTGTTCTTTCATTCCTCTCTGACCTGTTTCCTAACTGTGTTAAGTGTATTTGCGGGCTGCAGGTCTTTGTAACAATTGGCTACCTGCAGACCACTAGTGCTCCGATAAAGACTTCTTGATTCGATCCTACAAAATGTGGCTTCTCTGATTCCTCATTTTATAAAATTACCAGAATCCTAGGCCAGAGGCCCAAAAGGAAGGAGGGCAAGAAATCAGGTCCAGCACTCGGTCCAGAAATCAAAGGGAAATATTACTGATGAAAAGTAGGAAAAGAATTTAATATTCAGTAAGACCATACTAGAAAGATAAAGAAGATCAAGTGTATCAGCACTACCCTCAGGGATAGTGGCAGTGTGATTCAGCAAGAAAACGAAGAAGCCACATTTTGAGAGGTTGAGTTCTGAGTCTTTATTAGAAGGCCAGTGACTGCAGGCAGACTCTTGTCACAAAGACCTGTAGCTTCATGAAAACACTTAATACTCTTAGAAAACTGAACCATGGAGAGCAGGAAAGGAAAGAAAGAGCAGAAGAACAATACCAACAAACCAGATCAGCTTCAATGGTGAGCTGAACTGGAAAGCCATATTGACTGGGTGAAGAGCCAGGAGACACTACACAAGCAGACAGAAGACACATGGCACTGCTACCCATGCCTGAGATGGTTCCGGCCTAAATAGGGTCAGGTCAGGTGGAAGGTTCACAGGGCACTAGAGAATTCACAACCTAAGACAGGCAGGTCCAAGTCCTGGCCCCTGCCTCTAGAATTCAGGCAAGCCCATCACTTGGGAGGCGAGACTTCCCTGCCTCCACCATGAAGACAAGATGGTGCCAGTTAAACCCACTTCCCTATCATCCACCATGTGGCCAAGATGGCGCCAGCTAAATTCAGCATCCCTACTTCATTACAACAACTCCCAGATTAAATAGGGAAGATGGGAAGAAGTGTGCACAGTCAAGCATTCTTAGTCAAACTGAGGTCCTATCAAGGAAACTGCTTTGCAAGAGTCCCCACATGGAGCTGAGAAAACTGCCCTTGCTCTGGAGTCAGGCTAAAGACCATTTCATTTGCTTCAAAGATCTATAATCCGAGAAGGGAGAGGGGCAAATCAATTCCCATGAAATGACTATTCCTGTTTAGGAGGAAATCTCATCCTGTAATGATCTGCTTTCAAGATTCTGCTATTCCTAGAAGGTATGAGGCGAGAATCAAAGACTTCTAGGTGCCATTAAAGAGGTTTGAAAGGAGAATATTGTAAATGCTAGCAATTGACAGTCTGTCGAAAATACCTTAGTTACTCTTCCATTAGTGTCTTCAGCCTGAAGAGAGAAGACCAGCTTGAGAGGAATACTTCTTAAATGAATAACATGCCCACATTCAGGGTTGAACAAGAATCTGATCCAAAGGTTAATACAAAGGAGGCAGATACAAGACAAGGTGAAGACAAAGATTTCAAGCTTTATCCTGTTTTTATTTACTTATCAGGCATTTGCTGGCCCAAGTGAAGAGTCTGTGTTTTTAGCAAAAACAACCCCTAAGTCCCTGCTTTATTACCATCATCTCTGAAAGTACACAAAAAAACCACAGAAGTTCTGAGTCTCTCCATTAATGTGCAAGCCAGGAAAATCCTGAGCCCTAACAATTTCACAGAAATGTCTGCTGTCAATGTTGGTTCCTTCTGAATAAAAAAATAAAAAACCAGTAATGTCAAGAAAGAATATTTCCTTATTATTTTTCATTAGTATTTACTTTATTTATAGGTATTAGTAAGATTTAAATATTGAAGTGTCAAAATTAATGCATACATTAAAAATTTCAGTTTCTTTGAATAAAACTAGTTCACATGTTGGTAACTTTTCTTTATATATTGACTGTGAAATTAATTTGTCCATTAAGACACAATAGAAATTCTATTAAAAGCAAATATTAAGTCAGTGCTCTTTTTTTTTACTTAAAGATTGATTTGTGGTACTCAGAACTCTTTTTGTAATTATTTCCTTACATCTTAAAGATACCTCACAAATTCACCTGCCATTATTTCCCCTCCTAAACCAGCATCAAAGCACCTCTCTGAACATGCAGTGGCTAAAGTAAACATCTTTGGCTATGGACCAGAATAAGGAGAGAACGCTGGACATCTCCTGCACACATTTCCAGTACTCGGGTAGTCAAGTGTTTAATGCCTACTCCTTCCTACCAACTAGGTCCAAGCCAATGGCTGCTACTTACCCTAGCAAATTCCATAGGTTTGGGCAGAAGGCACATGACCATGACGTCAAAGCGAACATCGCATACCGTCTTCAACCACTTGGTGACAAATTGAGGCTTCAGTTTTTCTACCAAGCTTCCAACTTCATCGTCCATCATATACGCTGTGGAGTGAAACCACTGAAACACCATGGCCACTAGCCGGGCCAGGCTCTCCGTAGGCGTGTTCTCGCTGGGTGTGCAGAGGCTAACCTGTGGTAGGCAGAACAGAGCCTTGTTCAGCCACTATACATTTTTACAAAATTATTACATGTCAATTTAAAGGCAAAAAAAAGAGAAAGGATGTTCAGATAGTCCATTTGGGACAGGCAGTTTTACAAATGAGAATCACTTATCCAGAGATTGTTTGCCTCCCAACAGGAACAGAGGAACTACATCTACATCTAATTAAGATTTTACCTTTCAGTGAAGCATTTTTTGTCCTATGAATTATCTATGTCATAACCTGCATTGGATAAATACTTCCTAAAAGTTAAGTCCACAGAGTGATATTTCATCAATCTTCAGTGAAAAATAATCTAAATGGCAGAGTGCTGGTGGCTTGTGCCTTTCATCTTAGCTGCTTAGGAGGCTGAGATCTGAGGATTGCAGTTTGAAGCCGGCCTGGGCAGGAAAGAATATGAGACTCTCATCTCTAATTAACCACAGAAAAAGCCAGAAGTGGCACTGGGGCTCACATGGTAGAGCACTAGCCTTGAGCAAAAGAATCTCAGGGACAGTGTTCAGGCCCATCATCCAGCTGTAACATCAGAAGTAAGACTTACAAAATCAACAATTAAACTCCAATTTGGTAAACACACACACACACACACACACACACACACACACAAACTTTTTCATGAAACCACATGTAAGCATAAAAAAGATGTATTACTGTGAAGATTTAATCAATTTTGCCAATAGGCAAAATAAAGCTTGCTTCTCTGTAGAACTGGTATATTCAGCTGGCTCAGTACACAAATGCTGGGATATAAATTATAAAGAATCTAATACTAGAAACTGTCCCGTGTGTTTCCTGTCAAAAAGGTGTGTTTCAGCCAGGCAAGGCCCTGCACTGAACGTCGCCTTTGCTTGTTTATTCAAGTCAATTAGAAAGTCAATTAGCTTTTGGGGCACAGGGGAGGAGGGGAATCCCAGGATTCTGGGGTGGGGTTTGAAAATTGTTATTTTTTAAGTTTTTTTTAGGTAAATCTCATTGTACAGCCCAGGGAAGACAACTACCCCCCATTCTAAGGGTAATTTTTCAAAGAATAGGATGGTTTCCTCATCAATGCAATGTTGAAGTGAGAAACAAAAAAAAAAAAAACAGAACAGTTCATTTCTTTTCTTACTAAGAACCATATTCCAAATTGACTGAGCAGTCTCTGGTCGTGCTTATCATCGTCCTTGTTATCAAAGTCAGCATTATCCAAGGAATGGTGGGAAGATGAGAGGCCCAGCTGCCGCCGCCGATTCAACTCATGTTCCCGTTGCTCAGCGTGGAACTCTGCTTCTTTCAACAAGCTGGCAATAAAGGGTGATTTCAAGTTAGACTATGGAAGAATCACATCTGAGACCAAACCTATTCAGAGCAATGAGTTCATGAATACTCAGGCATCTCAAATAATTCTCCTTCCAATTGGTAAAATTACTCCAAGAACCTTAATTTCATTTTCTTATTGTTTATCTTCCGTTCCCAATTCAAAGATCAACAAACTGAAACACAAAGAGGTTACTTCTGCCCAACAATTTTAAGCAAGTTGAACTAATGCCCCTGACTTCTGGTTCACCCCCAATGTTTCTTTGTACCTACAGTGAAACTGTGTGAAAAATAATTCTACATTCAAGGAGAATTTGAGCTCTTAAGGCCCAAATGGGGAAAAAAATAACATTAACTATCTAGCATTGGAAGGCCACAAAAGAGGCAATAAAGAATTCTTTTTAAATTCTCTCAAAAGTACTATTGAAAAAAATAGTCATGGGGCTGGGAAGGTGGCTCAGTGGTAGAGCCCTTGCCTTGCATGCATAAGGCCCTGGGTTCGATTCCTCAGCACCACATAAGCAAGAAGAAAAAAGCCAGAAGTGGCGCTGTGGCCCAAGTGGTAGAGCACTAGCCTTGGGCTGAAGAGCTGAGGGACAGCGCCCAGGCCCAGAGTTCAGGCCCCATGACTGAAACCGCCCCCCCCCCGCAAAAAAAAATAGTCATGTTGGTGAGGGTTCAGCAAAAACTATGTACTTTAGTATTGTAATCTATTAAAGTATCATGAGTTATAGAGACCATTTGATGAATCAGTACACGTGTGCTAAACTGCCCTAAAAAAAGTAAAAATATCTAGGAAAACCCAAGCACCAGTGGCTCACACCTGTAATGCAAGCTACTCAGGAGGCTGAGATCTGAGGATCGCGGTTCAAAGCCTAGTCAGCTAAATCCATGATACACTTAGCTCAAAGTAACCACCAAAAAGCTAGAAGTGGAACTCTGGTTCAAGTGGTAGAGTGCTAGCCTTGAACAAAAATGTTCAGGGACAGTGCCCAGGCCCAGAGCTCAAGCCCCAGTAGGAGCATATACTCATACACACATGTGAGCACACACGCATACACACAAACAGAGGAAAAGCACAATAAACAAAGATATTAGCTACTGATAAAAGGAAAAAAATGAACAAAATCTAAATATGGAATGGTGAAAAGAAACAAGTTATAACCAGATGGTATTATGCATCCATTCGAAAGTGATAAATATGGAGCTTCACAACATGGAAAAGAGCTAACTGCATGCTAGATCAAAAAGAATCACAGATTCTCTGTGATTACAAATACATATATATATATATGCATATACAATGCATTTGCATAAAACTAGACCATACCTAGATTTGGCTGAGAGTCAAACATGATGATGATGATGATGATGACAATGATAACAGCAATATGGCTAGGTTGTTTTTTTGGGGGGAGGACTGTGTTTCTGAAATGTTAAACAAACTTTAAAAAAAAATTCCACTATGCATCAGCACTGAGATAAGGAGATAGTCCCTCTTCTTAGACATTTAGCTTATTGATCTTTTGTTTGTGTTTTTTGTTTTTGTTTTTTTTGTTGTTTTTTTTTACAAAATCTTGCTCTTAGCAGACAAAAAAGAACAAGTCTAGAGATTATCAGTTCAAATGCCTCTTTCTCTGTCTTCTAAGAGAAGGAGAGAATTTCAAATCCCATCTTAACTCCTTCCCCTTAAGACTTAGCCTAGTATCCCCTTACTTGGAGCTCAACCACACCTTATTGCTCATAAGCAGATAATTTGTTCTTATGGTTTTGCCTAGGCTTCTGGCTGAGATCACTGCCCCTCAATCCAGGATCTCTACACCCATCCCTAACTCTGATGACGCTCCTAAGCCTCTGCTCAGTGCTGTGTGTCCCTGCACTCACCAATGTCCACCACAACTATACACATAGGTTTGCTGGTTCCTTCTGAGCCACTGGAGGACACTTCTGTCTCCCAAGAGCCTAACACAGTATCTGACACATAACTAGCATTCAATAAAAATATTTGTATTAATTAAAACAATATGTACTAATTAAAACAATGTGATGGCAACACTGCTATGCTGAGGACATCTGAAGCTGGACTGAATTGACCCATCTCAGCATGGGAGGAAGCTCAAAGCCAAGATGTGTCGTTAGGGCATGCTGTCATAAACGTGGTTACCTAATCACCGCCTCTACAGCGCAGACCAGCTCCTCGGCGCCGCACTCCCGGGTGTTGATGGGAGGTGGGGAGGTTTGATAGAGGTGGGTCTCCGAGGCGGCCCCCACCTCATTACTGTGGTGATTTGAGTGGCATCTTTTGCAGTACCGAACAGGTCTGTTGCCGTGACGACCGCAGCACCCTGCAGAAAAGCAGGTAACGACTGCTCTTCTTACATGGGAACTGCAGTTCTAGAAGCAGAAAAGGTGGCATCAATTAAAATAGACTGCTAAGGTAGACTTGGCTTAAGAACTAGAGCAAATGGAAACTTTAGGGACCACTAGAAGGGACAGTGCATTTCACAAGTACATCCAGGCTTCCAAAATGCAAGTTAGATCCAGTGACAGTTAAAAATAAAGGTGAGAGGTGTCTTTTCCTAGGGAGAGAGGTAAAACAAAAAGAAAATGTAGAGGTCAGGGTATCTGTGTTGGGAAACCAGGGAACAAAGGGGATTCTTTCTGGATTATCCAACTTACTGTTTTAAGAGTTTTCAACAGAAATATAAAGACAAAAATTAGAATGGTGCTCCAGAAAGAACACAACACAACGGAGTAGAAATGGAAGACTCAATTCCCAAAATTGTTTTAATCAGCACTCAAAGAGCAGATTTCCACTGCAGTACATGGTCCTTGTGGCATTTAAGGGCAGGTAGGGAGCATGCTGTGCCGAGCTGAGTTGATGGCCCCAAAGCAGGCCTCTCCACTCCCACCAACTGTCATTCGATGAAGACCTAAAGAATATGTCAGTGACACCACAGGGACACACTACAACACAGTGAGAGCCACTCAACAGATGAAGGGATGGAAATGCGAAGAGTGAAGAAAAGCTCCTCTGAGTCCAGGGATGCTCTTGACAGAGCTGCCCTGACGAGAAGCAGGGCAGCGTGTGCAACAAAGAAAACTGAGGAGCTATGGGAACACCCTGAAGTGAACAAAAGACATGTGCCCGAGCCTGTTAGTGATGGTACCAGCTCATACTCTGGATCTACAGAGCTTTCTCAGCCTTTTAATAATGCTTAACAGAGGTGAACACCTCAATGGAATGTAACATCCTGGCCTTCAGAGTTTTGTGAGGCCTTCGGAATCTTTGTGACAGAAATCTCTGGTAGAGACGAGGAAGAAGGCAAGCACAAAACCTCCATCAAAATAATGACAGTGGGCTGGGAACTGGTGGCTCCCGCTTGGAATCCGAGCTACCTGGGAGACTGTGATCTGAGGATCACCATTCAAAGCCAGCCAGGGCAGGCAAGTGTGTGAGACTCTTATCTCCAATTTACCAACCAAAAAGGCAAACATAGAGCTGTGGCTCAAGGGGTAGAGTGCTAGCCTTGACAAGAAAAGCTCAGAGACAGTTCCCAGGGCCACGTAGTCAAGTGGCAGTACTGGTACACAGACCAAAAGAGAGAGAGAGAGAGAAGGAAGGGAGGAAGAGAGGAAGGGAGGGAGGGAGGGAAAGAAGAAGGGAGGGAGGGAGAGAAGGAGGGAGGGAAGGACAGTAAATTGAATTGCTTAAGAGAATCACCATCTCAAAACACAGTTTTTCCACTCTGATTTTAGCACAAGGACACCAAGTTTAGATATTAATGCTAGAAAAAAAATTCATTTTTTAAAAACAGGACTCAGGTCAACAAACCACAGAAGCAAAATGCAGATACAGGCCATTCTATTTTTGGAAATAACAGTCTCTTCAGACATCTGTGTGTATATTGTCTTAAAGTATTTTTCATCTGTTATTTTCTTTTCACTAATAATTTTTTTTTTGTAGTACGGAGGACTGAATTCATGCTTGTGAGGCAGGCCTTCTACCACTTGAGCCAGGCTTCCAACTCCTGTTTTGTAATGGTTATTTTTCAGGTAGGGTCTCACTTTATACTCTGGCAGGACTGCACTTAATCCTCCTATTTGTGCTTCCAGCTTCTTTGGGGATAACAGGCCTGTGCTTCCCCAGCTACAGCTGGATGGCAGCAACATACCACTGAGCCCTGCAATTGGCTGAATTGTAGTTTCTTCAAACATTTTTCTGCCCAGGATGGCCTTAATCTCTTGGATTATAGGCTTAAACCACCATGTCCAGCTTTTTAATAATAATTTGAACAACAAAGTCATTAGCTAAAATAAATTTGATGCTTGTGCTAAGATATACTGTCATTATTCCTCTTTTCATAAGCAATTAATATTTATTGAAATCTTATAATACATTAGGTACTATGAGAAAGGCTTTAACTGGGTTATATAAACATTACAATACCTCTATAAGGCCCATGTTATTTTGTCCCCAGTTTTTAAGTAGAGAACCTGAGAGTTTAGAGGGGATTATGTTTCCCAAGTCCATACACTGCCATTCTTTACTCATATTCTTTGGTATAAAAAAGGGTAGAGCCACAACCAAAGAGATTAACACCTAGGAGGTAGCACTAGAGAACAGACTGTGCCTTGGTGACTTTCAGTATTTCTGTGGACCCGTTAATATATGGCTGTCATTCCCTCACTTTTTACATTACAGTCTATCCCAGTGATCTATCTGTATCAACACTGTATCTTTGCTGCGCAATGGGCAGAGAATGGAACTCTCATTCACAGACATTCACAGCAAGAAACACAAGCAAGAAAACAACCTCAAAGAGCCCCATACACACCCAGACCCGATTTATATGAGAAGACCTTGGCCGCCAGCAGGATTTTACACGTAAGGAGTCCTAGGGAAGAGCATCTTAGACGCTCTTCTCAGAATGAGGGCCTAGTCCCTTCCTCTTGAATCTGATGGGCATGTGGCTGCTTCAGTCATTAGAGTAGGTGAGCAGTGATGTTTAGATGTCTCTCAAGGCCAGGTTATGAAAAGGCATACAACTTCTATCTGGCTATCTTGGAACCTTCTCTCTTTAAAAGTTTTCCTACGGAAATATCCCTTCCAGAATTCAAGAAAGACCACATTTAGGTCTGTAGTTAAAAGCATCAACTAACCTTGTCTTCAAGTCACCCCATTCCAGAAACCAAACATGATCTAGAAGATTCTAGATAGTTCCAGTCTTCAGGTATCCAAGTCTGCCCTAATGAGGCTCCAAACATTATCAAGTAGAGACAGGTTAGCTCCACTGTGCCCTGTCCAAGTCTCCAGCCCACAGAATTTATTAAGTAATTGCTTATTGTTCTGAACTACAACATTTTAAATTTTCTTACATGGTATTTGCAAATACACATGATATATTAAATAAAAGGCACCCTGCTTTATTATCATATATCCTAATTCTAAACAATATCAAATACTCTCCCACCCAGTTTTTTTTGTCAAAATTCTAAACAACTAAATCTTAATAATTGATCTGAAAGTTCTCAGCCCAGGTGGGCTCAGCTATAAAACCTTATTGTCATAGTAAGCAAGAGAGAGTGTGTTTTCTTAGATTCAGATTCAGTGGGGCATGATTTTGTTTTTGTTGTTTTGTTTCTTGCACCAGGGATGAGCTTGAACTCAGGGCCTGAGCATCATCTCTTAGATTTTTCATTCAAGGGTAGTACTCTACCATTTGAGGTACCTTCTGATTTTCTGTGGTTAATTGGAGATAAAACTCTCAGGGACTTTCCTGTCATCGCTGGCTTTGAACCACAACCCTCAGATCTCAGCCTCCTGAATATAGCTAGGATTCATAGGAATGAGCCATCAGCATCACACTCCATCTAGAACATTTTGACTTTGAAGAGACAGTATGTCCATATTAAGCCTTTTGTTTTTACTTTCAATACAGTATTCAGTAAATTATTTGAGATATTTAGCATTTCACTGTGAAGTAGGGTTTGTGTTAGATGATTTGGTCCAACTATATGCTAATGTAATGCTCTAAGCTGTTTTTAAGGTCAGCTATCATATCTGATAGGTTAGGTATATTAAATTCATTTTTCAACTTACAATGGGTTTATTGGGACATAACCTCATCTTAAGTCAAAGAAGATCTGTATTTCAATTGAGATAAATCATGGCAGATAAAGCTGATAACTCCTCTTCATCTTTTACTTCTGTGTTACTTTGCTTGTTTATTGTTTTTGAAGCAGAGTCTCACAATGTAGCCCAGGAAGGCCTGTGCTCATGAGCCTCCTGCCTCTAGCTGAGATTACCATCTCTTCATCTTTCATTGTTTATTTCAAACCTACTGCCCAAAAAGGCAAGAACACAAACTGTGTCCAGAGCAAGCTCAAATAATTCTGAATTGTTATGAACTTAATGGAAGGTATCAAAAATAATATTCATGGCTGGGAAGGTGGCTCAGTGGTAGAGTGCTTGCCTTGCATGCATGAGGCCCTGGGTTTGATTCCTCAGCATCACATAAGCAGAAAAAGCCGGAAGTGGTGCTGTAGCTCAAGTGGTAGAGCGCTAGCCTTGAGCTGAAGAGCTAAGGGACAGTGCCCAGGCCCAGAGTTCAGGCCCCATGACTGACAAAGAAATATATATTCATATAAAAATATAACATTTATTAAGAGGTAAGTAATAAATATTTGCCAATTTGAAACTTATTTCTGTTTTTTAGTTTTGTTTTGTTGATCATGGGGCTTGAACTCTGGGCTTGGGCGCTGTCCCTGCGCTCTTCAGCTCAAGGCCAGCGCTCTACCATTTGAGCCACAATGCTACTTCCGGTTTTCTGGTGGTTTATTGGAGATAAAACCCTCAGGGACTAGGGCTGGGAAGGTGGCTCAGTGGTAGAGCGCTTGCCTTGCATGCCTGAGGCCCTGGGTTCAATTCCTCAGCACCACATAAGCAAAAAGAAAAAAAAGAGCCTGAAGTGGCGCTGTGGCTCAAGTGGTAGAGCGCTAGCCTTGAGCTGAAGAGCTGAGGGACAGCGCCCAGGCCCAGAGTTCCGGCCCCACAACTGGACCCCCTCCCCCCCAAAAAAAATTCTCAGGGTCTTTCCTGCATAGCTGGCTTTGAACCACAATCCTCAGGTCTCAGCCTCCTGAGTAGCTAGGATTACAGGGGAGAGCCACCGAGGCCTGGTTTTGAAACTTATTTCTAAAAATAATTTTGTCATATAAAAGGAAGTGCTATGTCAGGCACTTGTAGCTCAGCCTCTACTCCTAGCTACTCAGGAGGCTGGGATGTAAGGATCATAGTCCAAAGCCAGTCCAGGCAGAAAAGCCTGTGAGACTCTTATCTCCAATTAACTATCCAGAAAGGCCAGAAAGGCTCAGAGTGGTAAAGTGCTGGCCCTGAGCACAAAAGGTCAGGGACAGTGCCCAGGCCCTGAGTTCAAGGCTAAGACCGATACACACACATACAGAGAGGTGGAGGGGGAAGGAGAGGGAGAAGGAGAAGGAGAGGGTGAGAGAAGAACTTCAAGCCAAATGTGGTGGCACACTTCAGTACTTGAGAGGCAGAAGCAGGAGGATCTTGAGTTTGATGCTGATTTATTACACTATATAGCAAGTATATGGAGACACTCAGTCTTGAAAATGAAAAGGGAGAGAGAAAAGTTAAAAAATAACATCTATTCTAAGTCTCAAATATGTTAGGTATGGCATCAAAGCCAAGACATGCTGGTTACAAAAATAAAACTTAAGCTGGAGATGAGGTTCAGCTGTTGAGTGTTTGCCAAGAATTTACAAGGCTCTGGATTTGACCACCCAGGTCATTCTCAGATAGCAATCCCCCTGTCTCCTGTGTATCTGAGATTACAGAAATGAACCACCATACACAGCTTATTTGTTGATATGGGGTCTTGCTAACTTTTTGCCTGAGCTGGCATCAAGCATATTCTCCCAAGATCTGCATCCCAAGAGTCACTGGGATTACAGGCATAAATCACCACTCGTAGCCTTTGAAGGTACATTATAACAATTTTCAGAAAGATATAAAGTGGTATATAGTTGATCCCTGAAGGCAGATCAGTGCATCTAATAATTATTGTGCAGGCTGAAATGACCAAAGTATGTGAAAAAAAAACTATCTCAAAAATGATCATTTGGAGACCCAGAACTCCAATAAGAATCATTCATTGAAAGTGGTTTCATGAATCCAGGAATTTTTTTTCAGTGCTGAGGACTAACCCTAGGGCCTTGTACATGCTAGACAAGCACTCTTCCACTGAGCTACAACCCATTTCTTATTTTTTTTTTTGGGTCCGGTCGTGGGGCCTGAACTCTGGGCCTGGGCACTGTCCCTCAGCTCTTCAGCTCAAGGCTAGTGCTCTACCACTTGAGCCACAGAGCCACTTCCGGCTTTTTTCTTTTTTTTTGCTTATGTGGTGCTGAGGAATTGAACCCAGGGCCTCAGGCATGCAAGGCAAACGCTCTACCACTGAGCCACCTTCCCAGCCCCCCATTTTTTATTTTTTTTAAGACAGGGTCTTACTATATAGCCCAGACGGGCCTTAAACTCACTATGCAGACCAGTCTAGCCTCCTGCCTTCACTTCCTCAATGCTGGGATTACAGGTATGTACCACTAAGCCCAGTGGAAACCCATGAGTATTTCAGGAAAGGCATACTAGACACCTAAAGTGGAAAGATACAATTCAAAATGAAAAAAAAAAGGTCTGTAACATCCCAGCTTCTAAACACAGGCAGCAAACAGACCGAGGCACTTGCTGCATGCAACACAGGCCATTTTCTTCCTGAAAAGGAATCAAGGCCTCAGAAGGATGGGTGGGTTACAAAACTACTCCTAAGTAGCCAAACCAGATTCTAATAAAGGCACATTCACTGTCCCTACAAGAGTGGCAGGAGCTGCTGGCGTGTTCACTGCTGGAGCCACTGCTGACCTGAGAGTGCTCTCTGCGGCTGCTGCCGCTTCTTTCTGGATAGATGCCTGCTGCTCTTACCCTGTCCCTACTTCACCATTTTGCCTTGGGTGAGATGCAGTAGATAATTTTCCTGGTTAGTCCACACGTCTCTAAATCAAAAGAAACTGCACCAGTGAGTTTCCTCAGTGACCTTTACACATTTAGATTATGAGCACTTAAACTTTAAGCCTGAGGAGTGTCTTGTGGTGAACATATTTTGTATATGGAAAGAATTTACATAATTGTGTATAGAAAAAAGATTGTGTTAGAGTAAATACAATCAGAATTTTTTTTTTGCCACTGTGATAACCAGGAAAGTCCCATTACCCTACTTCTTGAATCTGGGCTGGCCCTGAAATCTGCTTTACCAAATGCAATGCGACAGAAAGGATGCTGTGTGACTTCTGAGCTTCCATATCAAGGAGCCTTCCAACTTCCTTCCTTCCTATTCTACAACATTGCTGCCTGCAAACAAGTCTAGCTTAGACTGGAGAATGAAACATCTCCTGGAACATGGTAGGCACACCCACCTCAGTCATCCAAACCAACCACCTCAGTTAGGACCCAAGATAGGATATGCACAAGTGACACCCTCTGGGACTTGCCAATACCCAGTGCTCCTAGCAGAGTTCATCAGAAGACCTGCCTCACTGAGCAAAGGCCAAACTTCTGAACAACAGAATCGCAATCAAATAATTGGTAGTTGTTATTATCCATTGCATTTTGGGGAAGTTTGTTATAAGAAATAATTAACTGAGCTAGCCTTCCAAATATACCTACTCATAATCAATCTCCCTCAAATTTTAAGTAATTTATACAAGGTCCTCACAGATAAGAGGAAGTACAGGTATCTCAACCAATGAGTCAAAGCTCTTTGGATGATACCATGCTACCTTCTCTTACACTTTACAACTACTAAAACAAGAAGAGAAAAAAAAAGAGAAATGGATTAGAGAAACTTTATAAAAAGCAACTGAAAGGAATTTTAAGGAAAAAATCTTTAGCTAAATATTTCATACAACTTACATATAAATGAATACTTTCAATGTATATACTTGATTGGATAGTTTTTACACATATATTAGAATATTTGCACTGTACTTAAAATAATAAAGATTTTTAGCAGAAGGACAAATCTTTAACAAAGATTAAGCTCCATGTATTGCCCTCTCATTCAAACCTTTTCAAAATTAGATTCCTATCCCAGATTACATGTATGCCCTTACTTCAGATTACTTAAAGAAATGCATATGCACAAGATGAGTGAGCAAAAGCAAAAATGGAAATAAAGACTACTTGGACATCACAATGTTCCATGCTAAATTGTTTCCTTTCCCCTCCACAAAACCAGTGACATATACAAATCACAAAACCACGGTGCAGACATGAGACAGATGTTGATGAATGAATTTACATATAAACAGGAAACCATGCACCACCACACAGATGGTTGCTCTTACCTTTTTCTGACATATAGCAGATATTTCAGCTGTAAGGGGAAGGTACACAAAATATCAACAAAGGAAAAGAGCCTATTTTAAATAGGGGCAACCATGAAGGGGAATAGACAACCTTAGTAACATAACCTCTGACCTTAACAAAAACAGGTTTTGTCTCATAAACTGTCATCTGTTTTGTTGGCCTCTATTTTCTTACAAAGGCATAAAGTGTTCTTTCTCAATCTGATAATGATCTCAAGGTTTTGTTGCATGTCCTAAAAATGTCCCTTAGTTTCACATCTAATTCGACTTTCTCTCTCTCTGACTAGAAATCACATCGTGTTGAAGCCAAACAACATTAATTTTGCCTCTTCCTTTTACAGAAGACGAAGTTGAAGGCCACTGTGGTTGGAGAGTTCTAGCTATCAATAGTAGAGATGTACTTACAGCTAAAACCTCTGAATCCCAGTTGGCTGTTCTATTATACGATGACAAAGGCCTGAGCAGTACACTTAGACCACCATCAAAAGATGGGTTGCTATAGCAATTAAAAAGAAAAAGAAACCAAGTAACTTGACCTACTTATATTTGAACTATCAATTTATGTCAGTCTTATCTCATGTAACATCAGCTACATGGTTATGTAAGAGGAGGTAATTCTCAAACGTATGAGTAGACCACCAGGAGTAAAGCTGCCTAACTGCTGTCTTCTTCCAACATTACTTTTAATGAATGTGTAAGAATTTTTTTTTAGTTGGACTATCAGTCATTTCCATGGAAATCAATGCTTGAGGGTACTTGAAAATAATTCTTCCAAGAATCTAGTAACATTACCCTTGAAATAGTAAGTGCTCAAAAAATGGAATGACACTGTATTTATAGGATGGTTTCTTGCAAGTTAGTTAAAAGATTAAAGTCAAACTTCTTGCAAATCCTATCTGGAAAGTAAGAATTAGTGGATGCCAAACCAATGAAATGTAGCTTATTGCAAAAACTCATTTGATATAACTATTATTTGATAGTTTGTTATCCTAAGTTTAGAGTTATATCTTAAATAATATTAGACTACTGTCATATTTCTAGAAAAATCCTTAAGTTAATCTTAATTCTTTCAAAGATGAATATCATCTAGAAATGATGACCAAAACTCAGAAACCCATCTCGTATTTTCGAACATATGGTCCTGTGGTGCCGGCTACTTGGGAGGCTGATCGGAGAATTGGTTCAGCCCAGAAGTTTAAGGCTAATCTAATATAACAAGACTGTCCATTAAGAAATGAAAAAACAAGTCATTCATAGCGCTGCACACCTGAAATCCCAGTACTTGGGAGGTAGAGGCAAGAGAACTAGAAGTCTGAGGCCAGCCCCAGCCATAAGGCTAGACCGTGGCTCAAAAAAAAAAAAAAAAAAAGAAGAAGAAGAAGAAGAAGAAAGAGGAGGAGGAGGAGGAGGAAAAGAATTTTAGAACTTCATAGCCAGTTTTCTCTCAAAGCACTGGAAGTAGCCCAATTTACCCATAGTTCAGCCCAAATCTTTCTAGCTGACCTTCTGTGAAATGTGCTAATGGCTCTTTGAAGGAAGTGAAATGTCACTCACAGCGTCACACTGTTCTACAGATGTCAGTCACTAAGTCAATTTCTCTCTTAACACTGAGATAGTGTAATATAAAACATTATTCTACAAAGTGGTAGTGTGATTACCATCAGCAAAAGGTCTTAAATTCTGTGTATCAAAAGTATTATGTCAAGTTCTCCCTGTGTCCCTGATTTGTAATATGTCCCCAGATTTTTCCACCTGTCTTTGCTATGCTTTTCTGAATCCTTGTCTCTGTCACTTTAGGCACCAATGAGGTGGCTGAAATAGATGCTTCTCCTGGTGCAGAGCAATGCTCTGTCTGGAACCTATCAACTTTTAGGATACAGCTTTAAAAATTCTAAAAATTTTAAGGAGCACTAAAGATCTTGTCTTTCCTTTGAAATAGGTTAAATATACTTTATCCTAATTTCACTGCTAGGGAGATGAACTCTCAGAGCAATTAAAAGATGCCTCCCCAGTACAGAGCCTGTAACAATGGCAGATAAAGGCCCGTTTTCAATTCTCTTCCTTCCTTACCCCCTTCCTGACCTCTTCCCTTCCGGAAAGAAAATCCCTTAAGACAATTCAACAGGACGTTAGTCAAACAGAATCATAATTGCAACATCTAACCTGAATTTGGGTAGGGCTGATACCTCTTCCCCCATTAAGTGTTTGCGAATATTATAAGGAAGACATTGATATAATGCTTCGGGTCAATAATAGTCATGGAATATTATGCTTTGGTTACTGTCTTTGTAAAAATAAAATAGTACAAAAGGAGACAAATCTATCATGCCATTAGTCATGATTACGCATTATTCATCCTTTCCAAAATAAATCATACCTTGTGGCAGAAGAACATCAATCAGCCACTCGCTGTGGTCCCTACAAAGAGAAACAGAATTCATTTGTGAGCTTCTTCAATGAAATGCTCCCCTTCCACATGAATGTTTGTAAGCTTCGTGCTCTTGATGAAAGGCTTTTAATAAAATGAAGTATAATTAAGAATACTATCATAATAAACCTTTTAAAATGTCTAATGCATTCCAGTTAAATGTTAAATTATAAGCATTTCATCATATGTAGTTATCTTTAAATGCTACTTTCCAGATGCTAACTATGCCAACCAAAATACAGCATAATCAATACAAAGCTGAGTGTGACACTAACCAGCCAAAAAAATCCCACTTGAATTCTATGCCATGTTTGAAAAATCAGTTTTCTTTTGCATCTTTTTTATCCCTCTAACAGCCTTTTTAATAGAGTTAGTTCAAAACTGAAATTGCTTTATTCTGTGGAATTCCTTTATCATGTCATGTGGGGGGAAATAGTGCAACATTTTCAAAGCTGAAATCTCCCAAATGACAAATATCAAACTAACCTGTAAAAAAGTAGAGAGGCTAACATAAAACTTGGGTAACACAATCACGTTGAGTCCAACTAATGTTTCTAATGTTCTCATTTTGCTCCACTTCTTTCTTTTTAAGGACTTTTATACCTACCCTGCAATTCTCTCGCTGCATTCTTCACAGAGATACAACGGAGGAGGTTTATCACCCAAAGCTACTGACAGGGAAGGATCTATACACATCTGAAACACACAAAACAACAGAATGAACTCTCCTATTCCTATGTACCACGTGACCGACACTTCAATATGACAGAGTAGTAAAGCAAGATGGAACAAACAATTTTAGGGAAACCATTTCATATTGTAACGCTGTGCTACGCTGACTGATGACTGAAATGTGCCTGCTGTGTATTTCTATTTCTCCTTGTTATTTGCAACTCAAGTAAAAATAGGGGCAAGAAATCCACCCTCAGCCCACATCATCTTGTTCAATGACTATTCAAACTGGCTCTATGGGTAGTAAACATAATCATCTCTTTTAGGAAAAGAAAAATATAGTATTAAGATTTCAAAATCATAACTAAAATCAAAGTGCTGGCAGAAGAAAATTTAGAGAATTGTGAATTTTTTGCTTCCTCAGATACAGCTCATTGAAAACATGAGCATTAAATCACTTTTCTTACTCAGTATCTTAACTCTAAATCAATCATACAATGTTTTATTTTCCTTTGCTTTTTTTCTGCATATGACCTACAACAATTCACCCTTGATGCTTGGAGTTTTACTAATCTAAGAACAGAAGAGTGTTCATTTTACACTCGATCATCATTTCAAATATCCGGATGTTTAAATCAAGTGAACAAACTTTTCAAAAGACTAGCTGAGCCGGACATTGGTGGCTCACACCTGTAATCCTTGCTGCTCAGGAGGCTGAGATCTAAGGATTAAGATTCATAGCCAGCCCAGGAAGAAAAGTCCCCGAGAAACTTATCTCCAATTAACCACTCAAAAGCTAGAAGTGGGGCTGTTGCTCAAAGTGGTAGAGCACAAAGAAGCCCAGGGACAGAGCCCAGGCCCTGAGTTCAAGCCCCACAACCGCAAAAAAAAAAAAAAGACTAGCTGAGTTTTGCATTTTGTATCACCTTAAATTTTTGTGTTTATCAGTCATTTTGAATTCTGTTGTTGTTTTCAAGAAGTAATTAGTCTACACTATAGCGATTATACAGTTAAGATGCCTAGTATACAGATACTTGTGGAACTTCACTGGGTCTTTACTCCATTTGGAAGGAGGAAATGACCCAAATTTACAACCCAATCAGCCTGTAATTCAAAGTTAAAGCCCTGAGGAGTTGAAGTGATTGGCTATATAACAATTGTAATTGCTAAATTTAAGTAATTAAACCATCAAAATTTATAAATTACATGTTGCCTAGAGCTAAAGATGTAGTGTGAAAAATTCTATTTAAGTTTATTTCTTACATTCAATGAATAACTACTGTTTGGTTTATTAAATCGAGGATTGGTAACATTTATCCTATAAAGGCCTAAGGAGTAAATTGTTTAGGCTTTGTGGCCCACACAGTTTATCACAACTACTCAACTCTTCCCGGCATGAAAGTAATCATAGTCAATGTATAAGCAAATGAGTATAACTGTGTTTAAATAAAACTTTATTTACAAAAGCAGACAGCAAGCCAAATTTTGTTGTGTGTCATAGTTTGCTGACCCTCCCTTACATAGTTATCTGGGCTTCAAGTAGTTTATAAAGTGAACTTCAAGTAAAACCCAGGTACCAAAAGCAGAATGTGATCTAATACACTCAATAAACCCAACATATTTTCACATTTAATCGGACTGTAAATCTTGGATCTTACCTAAAATGTACTTCTTCGCAACATGTTTTAACAAAAATAAGTAACATATTTGTATTTCGCCAATCATTTGGGCCTAACTCACTATTATGGCAATATCAGGCTTTTGATAAAGGTTAATCAATTTTCCCCAGGATTTTACCATACTTCCTTACTTATCAAACAAGCCATCAACACCTTGACTAGATACAGATGAGTCTTTCATTCAACTTAAAAAGAAAAATTCTCGGGGTACTGGTGGCTCACACCAGTAATCCTACTTGGGAGGCTGAGATCTGTGGATCATACTTGGAAACCAGCCAGGACAGAAAAGTACGTGAGACTTTTATTTCCAATAAACTAGCCAAAACAAAAGTGGAGGTAAGGCTCAAAAGGATGAGGCTCTGATACCGCAAGGAAAAAAACAACAAAACCCAAACCCCTCCTAGGTTATTAGAACCATTAAGAGTTTACTAGCACCATACATGGGTGGCACATGCCTGTAATCCTTCGATCCTTAAATCTAGTCTTGACAACCAAAGCTCAGAGACAGAGCCCAGGCCCCAAGGTCAAGCACCAGGACTGACATACACACACACACACACACACACACACACACACACACACACACGTTTATTAGAGATTTAGCTAATTGATCTCTCATCTGTTAAATACATTAACAAGACCCACTGTTCTGAGCAGATCAGCTTGCCCTCACATTAATGTGTTCATATCTGGCTGTTGTATTAAAAATAACTACCTTCTGATTATAAATAAAATCTATGCCCATTGTAGAGGTTTAAGAAAATGGAGAGTAAGAAAAAGAAATGAACTAAAATAACTCAGAACACTCCAACTCAATGTCATAACAGTCTGATGATTCATACTGGCTACTTTTCACTATGAATAATACTTAGTTTTAAAACTTAAATTAGACACACTATACAATTTCATAAATTTCCCTTACACTTAATACAATGTTATAAGCATCTGAATATGGATACCCTGGTCTGCATGTCATGTGGTAATGGTATGTGTTTGGGAACACTCACATTGTAAAGGGAAAACAATTCTGAGGTAGGCCTATTGTAATGCAAAAAAATGCCTAGCACAGGAAACTTTAACAAAAAAGGTTACCTTTCTATAAAATGTGCAGTGATAATAGAAAAGAGAGCTCTTTAAGAAACTGGAGATCAGTAAGATTTGGGGGTAATGAAAATGTCTTTGAACTAGATAAAGGTGGTAGTTTAAAGCACTGTGTGAATGAATGTCCTAAATGCCACTGAACTGTTCACAAATGGTTAATTTCTTGTTGTGTGAATTCCACCTCAATAAAGAAAAATGAGATAAAGAAGGATGGTTTGGCCTATCCACGAGAATTTGTTTTAGGGAGAGAAGTAAGATTGATCTAGTGGAGTGAAACAGGCTGTTAGTTTGAAAAAGGAGAAAAATCTAATTCCTTGATAATTTCTGTGATTGGATGACCAGAAAGCTTTATTAACCGGGATGCCAGAGAACTCATGAAAATGTAGCCTGAGGGGATGGGAAGGTGGCTCAGTGGTAGAGTGTTTGCCTTGCATGCATGAGGCCCTGGGTTCGATTCCTCAGCACCACATAAACAGAAAAGGCCGGAAGTGGTGCTATGGCTCAAGTGGTAGAGCACTAGCCTTGAGCTGAAGAGCTGAGAGATAACACCCAGGCCCAGCGTTCAAGCCCCACGATGCACAAAAAAAAAAGAAAGAAAGAAAAAGAAAATGTAGCCTGATATGAAAACCTACAACCAGAAGGAAGAAAAAAGATACAGAAACAAAAGTAAGAGAGAACTATGCAAATCTCATCCCTGAGAAGAAACAAACTGAGCTCCGTGAATAGCTTATAATCTTCTGTGTGTTCAGCTCAAATATCCTCAAATCAAGGAAGAGTACTTGTAAACCCCCAAACTGCTAAAGTCCAGTAGAGGGGTGCACACAGTAGAGGTCTATTTCCATTGGCAGTTCCTCTCTTCTGCAACTTTTCAACACTCATTCAGTTTGCCTTCATCAAAGGCAAAGAACAAATTTAGTAATATAAGGATGACTTTTGTTAGTCCTTCCTTATATTACTAAATTTGTTCTTTGCCTTTGTTAGTATAAGGTATCTAAATGACAATGGTATAACTGGCACTCTGTTGCTCATTTTAGTTTACAAAACACATTTTCTTTCCTTTTCTATTTATTATGTCTTACTTTTCCTGTTTTCTGTTACTATAAAGTTTTAGCATTCATTTTCTATTATTGAGTCATCAGCAAAGTACATTAAGGGAAGCCACTTCCCATAACATTAAGTTCTGTAGCGTATTCATCACCTCTAATGATTTCCACTAATACTCATTTGCCCCTATAAAGCCACACAGTATTCTACCCAGCCAAGTATTTTAGGTCCAACAAATATTACCATAAGTAATTTTGTTTGATTATCTCTCTTAACACCTTATTTCCAAGATTAAGGCATTTAGCAGGACTGAACTAATTTGATGAGCAGAAAAGAATAAGGCTGAGAATAAGGTGCTCAGTTCTGTTAATAGTTTTAATATTAAATGACAGTATGATCTTTCTGACCACTTGACTTCTTTAAAACACTATTTCCTCTGATATAATTTGTTGTATATCATCCAAACATTTCTATTGTTTCAACTGCTATTGCATCTGTGATCTGAACTTAATAATTTTATCTATTTTTACCCTACAATGCTTGAATTTGCATAGTCATCTACTAGGTATTCTGAATTTGTAACATTCAAGTAAAAATGAAAAAAACACATTACCCTGAGTTTACTAGCTCAAATAGAAGCTTAATTAAGGAATATGGAAGAGTTCATCAAGATTCTTCTGATAATTAGTTCTGTATTGCATAATACTTGCCTATGAATTCAACCAAAACTTAGAGACACCACCACCATTAGGCAGACAATCTGCCCAAATACAGTTAAACTGAATATGGAAGATGTTTGAGTTTATACATACTAGGCCTCTGCTTTACAGAGAATCATGCTGTCTATACCACTTCATTCAGCAGTGCGTTCCTAATAATGTGACCACTGAAAAGACAAATGCACAAGGTCTAGTAAAACAATACCTTCACGGCTGGCTTGTTAATTGCGTTGTGGCATTCCATGTGCTGGCAGTGGATGGGATTCCAAGCTGTAAAGCAAGGTAGAGCCAATGAATATTTTTCATTGAAATCATTTATACACTGGTAAAAGCACAGTAGACAGTTCACTAGTTCACTAGTTTTCTTTATCATAAATGGAACCAACATAATTAGATGGCTACCTAACAAAATCAGGCTTTGTAATGTACAAAAAAATTTGAAAGCAGGCAAAGATATCACAATTCCAACCATTTTCCTAAAAAGAGAAAACAGTTACAAGGTGGCATACACAGCACCATCTTACCTCACAACAACATTAATAATTTCTCAAAGATTTCCCAATTATCTCTTACTTCCTGGAATTTTACATTTTTTCACCATAGAATACTATTGGAAATGTCCTAAATTTTTGGCATCAGGCTAAATTTCAAACTAATAAGTAGAGGAATGGTAAGGCATTTACCACCTTTTCACATCCCACCTCTTTGTCATCAAAAGTGGAAACTAGAAAGATGAGTTTCTTGCCACATGGAACTTATTTCTCTCATGAATGGTACCCATATATTGAACCTCTGCTAGTTTGTTGATATCTACAATCAAGTCCTCATCTGAGTATACATAGAAAATGAGGAAAGAAATGAATGATCTGAAAGGTAGCAGATAAGAAAACATAACCAGGAATTATTATCCAGTGATTATGATGTGACCTAATGTATTTAACTAACAATATCCAGCATTTAAATAAAATATAATGTAATTGTGTGATTGGGACATCTTTCTAACATATCCTAGTCTAAATTATAGGGCAAGAAATCAATTTATTTAACAAGAGGACAAAAATTATAGACAGAGACCATGCAGTATCCAAAAAATATAATATTAGGTCCACTATATTTTGAGAGCAAGAAAAATAGAAATGAATGTATGAGAAAACATTAATAGACATCATTTAGAATTATCAGATTTGTTTCCCATATGTGATGAAGTCAAGCTGTCTATAAAGGAGGGTAACAAGTTTTCTGTATAACTAGAAAAACAGAAAGACTCTATTTAACCTATCCATGAATGCAAATACATGGGATATAAACCCTGTTCCTCCAATCCAATACTCACTCATTACAGACACAATTAATCCATTATAGCATTCTTTTCTATTTATAAATGCATTAAAATCCTTCCTACCACTGAGATCTGAGCAGTGAACACAAATCAATACACAGTTGGGGTTAGACATGCTAGTGCATGCCTGTAATCCCAGCTATAGATGGACCATGGTTGAAGGCTAGCCCAAGGAAAAATGTTATAGAGACTTTCTCTCTTAAAAGCAAAGCTGATATGGTGATACACCTCTATAATCTCAGCTACGTAATAGACAGAAGTAGAATTGCAGTTGGAAGCTAATCTAGGCAAAGTTAGTACAATATCTTACCTAAAAAAATTAAAATCAAAATGAATGAAGTCGTAGTTTAAGTAATAGGATGCTTATATAGCAAACATGAATTAAATTTTGAGTACTGCAAAGAAAAAAGAAGATGGCAGATTAGTGGCATCTTCTGTTAGACTCCATGAATAAGAAGACTCAGGGTAACGAAGATGAGACTATGTTCTGAAGACAGGAACATCAGGAATCATGAAAAAGGACAGGGCAGATGAAAATCATAAGGAAACAGAAAGACAACAGAGGAAAATAGAAAGAAAAAAACACACACAAGAAGTCTAGAACTTCAACTCCAGTTCCCCAGAGCAGAAAGGAAGGAAAAGAAATATAGACAAGGAAATCCAGGTGGCTCTGCTGACAGACTGACACCTCTAGCTGCAGGATAAATCCACACTTCCCACAAGCCTTAAATCCAGTGCAGGTGCTTGGCAAAACAGAGACTGCTCCTGTACAGCTGTCTCACAGTGGAAAAGAAAGACATTTGTTACTCTCCTTTTCTCACAGAGTTATGGAAAGGTGCCACCTTGAGAGAAATGAGACTAACTACTCTGGAGATTTGAAACAAAAGACAATCATGGCTCAGAGCTCTTTGGAACACACTGGCACAGTGCGGGTGGGAGGTGATCATGGAAAGGCCAAGGGTCTAACCTGGACCTACTGAGATGCTTAATGAGCAGCTCAGGTGGTCAAGGGCCCCATGGTGGGTGGCAGTGCAGACAGAGGGGTCCTCTGGGAGGACCAACTCTCCCTGCCTGAGAAGCATGAAACAGCACTGGGCCCACGGCTGACAGAGTACTTGGCTGACAGAGGTCTTAGCTTCCCAGTTACCTGAGTCCCCTTCTAGACAGGGCTGAGAACTGTGAGCCCAGGCCTGGCACATCGCGTACTTTCCCCAGCCTCCTCCCTAACACAGAATGAGGCTGCCGGAAGCAGAGAGACGCTTGCAGGAGCGGACTCTGGCTTCCTGTATTTATTGCCAGGCAGGACTTAGGGCGCTGACCCAGAACCTACCGATCACATTTCTAACAGCCTCCTCTCTCTCACAAGGTCTCACGGTGGGGTCTCAAAGCACTGAGCCTGGCTGCAAGACTTCCTGAGTGTCTCACTTGTTCTCCCACTGAAAAATTAGTTAGTTCTGTTAGTTCTCCCACCCTCTGATGCACTGAGGGTACATCCTAGTCTTAGACACTTATTGCCCCTGTGGGCACAAATGAAGAGGTGTGTGGAACAAGAGGGAACCTGCCTAGTCCATAGGCTGCAAAGCTCCTTATAGGCCACAGTGATTCCCACTACACAAAAAAAGGAAAAAGCAAAACTAGAGGTGCACAATTAATCTTTGGCTCAGCCCATATATAGCAACAACGAGTTCAGGCGGCACTACCAGAAACCCCAGCGATTTTTGTTTGAGTGGTACTTGGGATTTAGCTCATTGCCATGAACATATGGCTGAATATTTGGGTACTGAGCCCAGTGATGAGAAACTACACCTCAACCCAGACACTGTACAATTCAACCTAAATAACAGACTCTGAACAGCCAAAGCAAGCTGGAAGTATCACAATACCTGACTTCAATTTATATGACAGAGCCTTGGTAACGGAAACAGCAAGGTACTTGCAAAATAAAAATTAAAAAAAACAACAACCAGATATGTAGACCAGATATGTAGAAAAGAATAGGAGACCCAGATATAAAGCCAGAAATGCACAAGTACAGCCATGTGGATTTTTAAAAAGTTGCCAGTAACTTGATGGAGGAGACATCCTTAACAAATGGTGTTAAGAAAAGTGGCTTGCCACATGTAGAAGACTGAAACTAGATCCTATTTCTCACTCTGTACAAAAATCAATTCTAAATAGATCAAAAATCTTAATGTAAGAACTGAAATTCTGTAACTACTATGAAAAAGTACTTGAAGATATAGGCCTAGGGAAAGCATTTTTTAAATTTTATTTTATTGTAAAGATGCTGTACAGGGGGGTTACATTTTCAAGATTAAGGCAATGAGTACATTACTTGTCGAGCATTGTTACCTCGTCCCTTGTTGTTGTCCCACTATCCCTTCCCTCCCCCACCTCCCTTACTTCTCCCCAATCCACCCCACTCCTCTGCCTGAAGTAGTTACGTTCCTTTCCAATATACTGTCCTGTGGGTATCCTTGTTGCAATGGGTCATCCTGTGTCCTCGTTTCAGGGTTTTGTTATTCCCCTTCCTCTCCCCAGATAAGACATATGTATATACAAGATGCAGGGTACCAAAATCAAGTACAGTGACAATAGGAGATATACCATAGGGGGAAGAACATACAAAGGAAACAACAAAAAACCCCACATAGTATATTTAAAACAATAACAACAAAGACAGACTTCTTGTGTCCATATCTTGGGTTCATTTCACTTAGCATCATCTTTTCTTTTGGGGGGGGGTCTGGTCGTGGGGCCTGAACTCTGGGCCTGAGCGCTGTCCCTCAGCTCTTCAGCTCAAGGCTAGCGCTCTACCACTTGAGCCACAGCGCCACTTCCGGCCTTTTTTTTGCTTATGTGGTGCTGAGGAATCGAACCCAGGGCCTCAGGCATGCAAGGCAAGCGCTCTACCACTGAGCCACCCTCCCAGCCCCCTCACTTAGCATCATCTAATATGAACATATGTACATAGCTTCTGAGCTTTTCAGCTTATCTGATAAGATTATCCTATATGCATACAACTTATTTCAAATAAGGGAAACCATGGCTAAGAGATGGAACCAACACTTAGTAGATAAGTGGATCAAGAAAATGTGAAATAGATAGATAGATACACACACATATACATACATACAATGGAATTCTATGCTTCCATCAGAAAGAACAACACTACCCCATTTGTTATGAAATGGAAAGACTTGGAAAAATCATATTAAGTGAAGTAAGCAAGTCCCAAAGAAATTTAGGTTTCATGGGAAAGGATTTTTGAACAAGACTCCAATTGCTTAAGAAATAAGAGCAAGAATTGACAAATGAGATTGAATCGAATTAAAAAAGGTTTTCTACATCAACGGAAACAATTGCCAAAATGGAGGCAATCTATAGAATGGGAAAAATATTTGCTGAACAAAGGATTAATATTCAGAATATATAAACAGCTCAAAATTTTAATATTAAAAAAAACAAATCCATTTAATAAAAGGGTAAGTAAATTTCACAGATCTCAAAAAAATGGATAAATGGCCAATAAATACATGTAAAAATGTTCCACATCTCTACCCATAAAAGAAAAATAAGTCATCGAGATTCCATCTCACTATAGTGAGAATGATTATCATCAAGAAAATAGCCAGACACTAGTGGCTTACCCCTGTAATCCTACCTACTCAGGAAACTGAAATTCTAAGAATCTTGGTTTGCAGCCAGCGTAAGCCAAAAGTCTAAGACGCACCCCCCCCCCAGTGCAATTAACCAGCAAAAAGACAAGCTAGAAGCATGGCTCAAGTGCTACAGACCAGCCATGAGCAAGCTAGCCCAATGCATGAGAAGCCCTAAATTCAAAGTTCAAGTCCTAGTCCAGTTATAAAAGAAACCTTTACACACTGATGGTATAGATGTAAATTAGTACACTCACTATGAAAATTAGTAT